CTCTTTGGGTCCTATCACTGGATCTAACTAACCCCTTTATCCATGTGTCCTTGAGGACATCTGTATATGAATTTGTGGGTATTATAAACCTAATGTCTTCAGCAATCATTTTTTTTAGCAGTGCTCATATTGCAATTTTTTAAAGTTATCATTGCATGTTTTTACCAGAGCTCATATTGCAATTTTTATTGTTTTTATCGCTTTTCTCTGGCAGTCCTTATTACTGGTTCCCATATTGTATTCATTTCTATGCTTGCTCAGCTCAGGACATTTTTGTGGCCTAGAACAGTCTACCCCAGAGAGCGAAATAAAGGGTTCAGTTCGACATTCCAAACGGCCAGAGCATGCAACGGCCGAAATGTTGTAATAAATATGGCGACAAAGATGAGGACAATAGTCCGAATAATGTAAATAGTGTACATAATACCTCATCTCGGAAATATAGACAGGTACTGAAAGGCCGAAATGTTGTAATAAATATGGTGACAAAGATGAGGACAATAGTCCGAATAATGTAAATAGTGTACATAATACCTCATCTCAGAAATATAGACAGATACTGAAGGGCCGAAATGTTGTAATAAATATGGCGACAAAGATGAGGACAATAGTCCGATTAAAGTAAATAGTGTACATGATACCTCATCTCAGAAATATAGACAGATACTGAAGGGCCGAAATGTTGTAATAAATATGGCGACAAGATCAGGACAATAGTCCGAATAATGTAAATAGTGTACATGATACCTCATCTCAGAAATATAGACAGATACTGAAGGGCGAAATTTGTAATAAATATGGCGACAAAGATGAGGACAATAGTCCGAATAATGTAAATAGTGTACATGATACCTCATCTCAGAAATATAGACAGATACTGAAGGGCCGAAACGTTGTAATAAATATGGCGACAAAGATGAGGACAATAGTCCGAATAATGTAAATAGTGTACATGATACCTCATCTCAGAAATGTAGACAGATACTGAAGGGCCGAAACGTTGTAATAAATATGGCGACAAAGATGAGGACAATATTCCGAATAATGGAAATAGTGTACATAATACCTCATCTCAGAAATATAGACAGATACTTAAAGGCCGAAACGTTGTAATAAATATGGCGACAAAGATGAGGACAATAGTCCGAATAATGTAAATAGTGTACATAATACCTCATCTCAGAAATATAGACAGGTACTGAAAGGCCGAAATGTTGTAATAAATATGGTGACAAAGATGAGGACAATAGTCCGAATAATGTAAATAGTGTATATAATACCTCATCTCAGAAATATAGACAGGTACTGAAGGGCTGAAACGTTGTAATAAATATGGCGAAAAAGATGAGGACAATAGTCCAAATAATGTAAATAGTGTACATAATACCTCATCTCAGAAATATAGACAGATACTGAAGGGCCGAAATGTTGTAATAAATATGGCGACAAAGATGAGGACAATAGTCCGATTAAAGTAAATAGTGTACATGATACCTCATCTCGGAAATATAGACAGATACTGAAGGGCCGAAATGTTGTAATAAATATGGCGACAAAGATGAGGACAATAGTCCGATTAAAGTAAATAGTGTACATGATACCTCATCTCAGAAATATAGACAGATACTGAAGGGCCGAAACGTTGTAATAAATATGGCGACAAAGATGAGGACAATATTCCGAATAATGGAAATAGTGTACATAATACCTCATCTCAGAAATATAGACAGATACTTAAAGGCCGAAACGTTGTAATAAATATGGCGACAAAGATGAGGACAATAGTCCGAATAATGTAAATAGTGTACATGATACCTCATCTCAGAAATATAGACAGATACTGAAGGGCCGAAACGTTGTAATAAATATGGCGACAAAGATGAGGACAATAGTCCGAATAATGTAAATAGTGTACATAATACCTCATCTCAGAAAAATAGACAGATACTGAAGGGACGAAATGTTGTAATAAATATGGTGACAAAGATGAGGACAATATTCCGAATAATGGAAATAGTGTACATCATACCTCATCTCAGAAATATAGACAGATACTGAAGGGACGAAATGTTGTAATAAATATGGCGACAAAGATGAGGACAATAGTCCGAATAATGGAAATAGTGTACATGATACCTCATCTCAGAAATATAGACAGATACTGAAGGGACGAAATGTTGTAATAAATATGGTGACAAAGATGAGGACAATATTCCGAATAATGGAAATAGTGTATATAATACCTCATCTCAGAAATATAGACAGATACTTAAAGGCCGAAACGTTGTAATAAATATGGCGACAAAGATGAGGACAATAGTCCGAATAATGGAAATAGTGTACATGATACCTCATCTCAGAAATATAGGCAGATACTGAAGGGACGAAATGTTGTAATAAATATGGCGACAAAGATGAGGACAATAGTCCGAAAAATGCAAATAGTGTACATGATACCTCATCTCAGAAATATAGACAGATACTTAAAGGCCGAAACGTTGTAATAAATATGGCGACAAAGATGAGGACAATAGTCCGAATAAAGTAAATAGTGTACATAATACCTCATCTCAGAAATATAGACAGATACTGAAGGGACGAAATGTTGTAATAAATATGGTGACAAAGATGAGGACAATAGTCCGAATAAAGTAAATAGTGTACATAATACCTCATCTCAGAAATATAGACAGATACTTAAAGGCCGAAACGTTGTAATATATATGGCGACAAAGATGAGGACAATATTCCGAATAATGGAAATAGTGTACATAATACCTCATCTCAGAAATATAGACAGATACTGATATTTTCTTATTGCATGTGTGTGTGTGTGTACATCTGTATGTGTGTTTATGTGCACGTGTGTAGAATGCAGTTATTTCTTCTTTATATGAGTTTCTTGTAACCTTATCTTCTATCACTATTTCTTTTCTTTTCTTACTTTTATCTTTCGGCTCTGATATAAAATTTTGTTCTTGGGAATGACAGTGGAGTGGAAGTGGTAAACAGTGGTAAAAATGGGCTCTCAACGTCACTGAGTGGACTCGGAGATGATTCACAGAAAACTCAGACATGGGCATGCAACATAGACGTATGGATGGGAGAATGGGATATTCTGGTATAGCCCGTTTGGTTTCACTGTGGCCAATTCGACATAGGAATTTCTCGCCAGAGGGATGATTAGGCATCAGATTACTACTTCGGTGTTATAATCAAATTTTCTCTCTCTCTCATTTAGTAGTCAAATTAGTACTTCATCGTTATCTGCTCAAATAGTCCAATTTAAGTAAAAGAGTAATTGGTGGCATTTTTAAATCATGAAATTTCTCGAAGAGTTGATCGCTGGCTATCCACCTCCCCACCACACCATGATGAACAAATCAGAAAAAGTTATAATGGAAGTTAGATCATTAGATCCTATTGAGTTCCTGAAGGGTGTTGCTTATAATTAGGAAATCAAGAAGTAATTTCTAAGGTTAAATATCTTTACTAAGTTTTTTTTTTTTTTTGGAATACAGTATTTTTAATTTAAGTTTTTAATTTATATTATTCCATTAGTGTTTTAATAGGATCCTTAATTCCCTACATGAATAAAAAGTCATATTGAAAGTTGGGTGCTTTCAATGCCTTTATCCTTTTTTTTAGGGTGGGGGTTGCCTCCAGTCAAAGACAGTGACATCGAAACAGCCTGACGCCTAAAGGGCTGTGCTGAAATATTTCAATTATTTTTCTGACACTGAATCAGTGACGCCAAATAGGAAACACTGAAATGTACCAAATTCTATAGAAGAAGCTGGTCAAACTGTTGATGATAATTTCAGAATAAACGGTAGTTGACTTATGCAACAAATATGACCTACTTTATATGAACACCTTTGACTTACAAATTCACTCACAGTATAATCTGTCTTTGACCAGGTTTTTCATTACTGAGGAATTCTGCCGTTCAATTGGAGCAGTTTAAATTCAGCCCACCCAAAAATTAATATTAGCAATAGCAATTGGGTGCAACTGAGGCACATCCTCAAATAGCGGGGGGGGGCTAACAATTTCAATGGGGTGATGTCCTGAAAAGGGACTGTATAATAAATAATATGATTGTAATAATTTAAACTATTTTTATTAAAGTTTTTTATGAAAGATATATATATATCCAAGAACAGATAGTAAATAGTAAAACGTTGCTGAGTGTTATAATGGACAGGAAGTAGTGGAGAGCCATTGTCACCAACAATTTGGACTCAAAACCAGCACTAAAGAATTATTCATCAAACAAAAATATTTCATTAAAATCGGATGAAAACTGTGGAAATGCATAAACAACATCTGATCGCACACATGCACACATACATACACACGCACATTTTGAGAATTGTAGATATAATTAATTATATAAATTTAACTGTATAATAATATTATTATTGTAATAATTTAAACCTGTTTATTTTTATTAAAGTTTTTATGAAAGATATATATATATCCAAGAGCAGATAGTAAATAGTAAAACACTGCAGAGAGTTATAATTGACAGGAAGTAGTGGAGAGCCATTGTCGCCAACAATTTGGACTCAAAACCGGCGCTGAATAATTATCTATCAAACAAACAAAAATTCATCAAAATTGGATGCAAACTGGAAACTCATAAACAACATCAAATCACACACACACACACTGAGAATGATATTCATTGATGCATTTCAAGTGTTTTAGACGGCTCGTGCAAGATTTTTAAAAATCAACACCTGTATAATGAGCAATGAGTAGCAACCATAAGCAGTGATGCACCAAAAGTCAATATAACAGAAGCATATTATTATTTACACCTGGACTATTGACCTCATCTTTGTTGTTATTATCACGTTTCGACAGTTGTCTCTTCTGGCATTCATCAGGAGTTTGTCACTCCAAGCAACCTTCAGGTAGATTGTTCCGCTGACAACATATAGAAGTATCTCATCTAGTTCATATTTAGTATGGTTCAATTATTGCTGGCTTATGCTGAAACACTAGTTCCCATAAAATCGCCAAAGTTAAGCAACGTCAAGCCTGGTCAGTGCTTAGATGGGTGACCACTTGGGAATACCAGGTGCTGGAAGCTTAGATGTGCAGGTAGTTGAGATTTTACAAGCGTAACTTAGATGTGGTATATGGCCAAAAGTATGGGGCACCCAGTGAGGACCGAACTGACGACTCAGTCCCAATTGTTCTAGCGAGACAAGCTTGCTAACCATTACACCATGCCGAGGTGCCCATATGTGCAGGTAGTTTAATGGATAATGGCTCAGAATTGTTAATCAGAAAGCCAAGTTTCAATTCCGGTCGTGTTTGTTATATTCCTTCACATGCAAATACCCTTCGGAAAGGTATGACTCCACCTCTTCTCTCCCTAACTTTGGGTTAATTAGTAAAACTTGTATCACTAAAATACTATTATCTCAAATAATTTTTTTTTAAATCAAATAAAGTAAAATTGCGTACAAAATATTTCAATTTTGGCATTAAAATAGCCCATGGAGTTTGAGATATGCTGCTAACAAAAATGACTGATCAATTACTGATCACTACTTTTTGAATAAGTCAAAGAATGCATTACCCGACCCAGGGATTGAACCTACAGTTACTAGGTTACCAAATTCAGGGACCAACACTTTAAGCCTTTAGGCTGTTATGGTATAATGAAGGCCAGAGGTCACAACAGCCAAAATAGTAACAGAAAAAAGAGGACAATAGTCCACAGTTAATGATCCCAGAATGATTTCATCCCAGAAATTCAGAGATCTACATAATTGTAATGGTAGGTGACACTACTATAACTTTACATCTCCGAAATGTCCACACAGAAGTGATATTTTGAAATGTCTTTTCTATGATGAGAGATCCTGTCATTACTTAGAATTAAGTTAAAAAGTGAACACTGCACAAATTGACCAGACTTCAAAAGAATAAATCATTGGATGTTGCTATATAGTATCAAAAGTATTTTGAGTTTTCCCTCTTTTGGCAGGAGCTAGACAAGTTGGATACACTAAGTCATCAAATAACACATTTGATAATTGACCCTACATGGGTCAATTATCAAATGTGTTATTTGATGAAGGCAGCGAGATTTTAAAAAAAAACAAAAAACAAAGGATATTTAAACTTGGTAACACAATGGGTTCCCCTTTAGGACACATGAAATCAAGTGGGCTATAAATGATCTTATCAAGCACGATCTTACAGAATGCAGAGGCTAGGTCAGGATGGTAAGGGATTGGTCAGAATACCTTATGGGTATGAAATTCTGACAGTGACGGATTGACTTTGCATCAGTTTTGGATATAGGACCAAAAAAGTGCAAAGACAGCAATGAGCTGGAAGAATTATGAAGTGTTAATATGCTTTCCGTGCCCTGATACCATGAAGAGGTTAGGCCACACAGGGTAGAATACTAAGTCAATGAGTGGACATTCCCCTGAAGTTCTTCCTCCTATTACCTGCTACCTGCTACCATCCCCTGTCCTTATATGATAAAATGAAAAAGCAAAAGTTTCATTGATACTGTCTATGAAGTTGTAGTGGGGATGGTGGGGGCTGAAGCTAGTGTTGATGTGGAATGCAACAATGACAGTTTTTATGATTGTGTAGACAGTAAAATTTACAAATGAATTCTTCAAAGCAACAACCCAATATCAACAAAGAAAAAAAGAAAGGAAAGCTTTCAGGATCAAGTGCCATTTGGTCAGAAGTTAAGGAATTCCGTTCGCTTTTTCTCTCTTCTTTTTAAACTATTTTTCACCCAGTACAAGACCAAAGAGTCACTCAAGGTAGAGGATTACTGAATGAGGTTCTTTTATTAGTGGAAGAGGTAAATGTAGATTAGGAGGATTTGTAGGATAGATAATGGTTGATCCTAGACTTGAAGACATTATGAGTGTAGCAATCAAGGAAGAATCCTCAAGGGAGTCTGTTCGAAAAAGTAGATGTTATTGGAAAATAGGAGCCATATTTTATTTTCTCGCTGTTTCACCTTCTATCTACCTTGTGAGCAGACAATGGGCAGTTCCTAGTTTTTATTTACACTGATCAGTGATAGTAAGATGAATAATTATATCTAAACAAATGAGGAAATAATGTGTAAAAGTGGAAAAGCTATTCTGATATGTTTTGCTTCATTACAGCGGGCGTCTTCAGGTTGGAATGAAAGACAAAGCTATGTGTAAAGAAAGCGCATTGGAATCCTGAGTAAAAGGTAAAAAATGTCCTTCTCGGTTTCAGAATTTTTTTCTTTTTTGTTTCATACTGAAGATGTTAATATCTGCTGGATTTGAAATTCACCCACTCTGAGAATTGATTGATTCATTTCTTATGGCTTATCAACCCTTTACAGGTTATTTAAAGCCAGAAAATATGTTTAGATTGTAAGAATGGTTTAGTGATAGAAGTCATACTAATTAATCCATAGGTGGGGGAAAGAGGTAGATTCATGCCTAATCAGAATTTGATAAACAAATAAAAAAAATATAATGTGGATATAAATTGGGGGATTACTTCTATAATACAATCAGTATATAAACTGATCCCTCACTTTATGGTCACGGTAGTTTCCATCCATTTATATTCCAGAGAATGTAAATAAATCTAAAAGTCATGCCTGTGTAGCTAATCAGTATTTCATTGATTGATTCGTTTTCTATGGCTTATCAACAAACAAGAAATTATAATATAGATATAAAGCGGGGGATCAATTCTGTATTTAAATCTATATATAAACTGATCCCTTACTTTGTGGCCAGAGTAGTTTCTATACAATTATATTCCAGAGTATGTAAATAAATCTAAAATACATGCCTAATCAGTATCTGATTGATTGATTGATTGATTGATCTGTTTTCTACGCCTTATCAAATTTTTACAGGTTATTTAAAGCCAGAAAATATTTTTAAATTGTAAGAATTCTGTTTTTTGTTTTTTTGTTTTTTTGAAACAATCTATATTTTATTTAGTTGTGTTAACTCGGACATTGATGTGTTTCACGCCAATCATCAAAGTCGGAAGGTCATTGGTCAGGCATCCTGTGTCATGATTAGCTGCTCAATGCTGGTGGTTGTTGGGCAAGTCAAGCCATCTTGCTCCATGGCTAATTGTCCATAATAGTTGGTCACTTATGAATTCTTGTTTTGCTCGCCAGCAGTGTTCCACAAAGTGCATTCTGAATTCATGTAAGACTGTAGAACTATCAGGGATGGGTCCATAGAGTTGCAATTTAGTTGGATGTTTTCTCCAAGAGATGTTATAGCTCTCAGCATCCGATTGTAGATTCCATCAAGCTAAAACTGTAGGATTTTATTTAATGTCT